TTCATCATAAGTATAATGTATAGCAGAAGTGGCATCATCAATAACATGCGACATATCAGAACGAATAGGAGAAGCAGGTTTAGGTGTCGCAAGCTTACTCAAAACAGAAGGTGAATCAAGTGCAGAGCTAGATGGCAGTTCCTTACCTCCCCTCGTAGTTGAGGGGAAAATCTTGGTTCTTTCAAGTTCTTCATAATGATAAGAAGATATAAATCCCAAGTGACTCAAAGAATAGAGCTATGGTCCCCGGCAACGGCGCCAGAAAATAGTCTTGATAACCCACAAGTATAGGGGATCACAACAGTTTTCGAGGGTAAAGTATTCAATCCAAATTTATTGATTCGACACAAGGGGAGCCAAAGAATATTCTCAAGTATTAGCAGCTGAGTTGTCGATTCAACCACACCTAGAAACTTAGTATCTGCAGCAAAGCATTTAGTAGCAAAGTAATATAATAGTAGTGGTAACGGTAGCAAAAAGCAACAGTAGCAACAGTAGTGTTTTTGGTATTTTGTAGTGATGATAGCAATAGCAACGGAAAAGTAAATAATCGAAGAACAATATATGGAAAGCTCGTAGGCAATGGATCAGTGATGGAGAATTATGCCGGATGCGGTTCATCATGTAACAATCATAACCTAGGGTGACACAGAACTAGCTCCAGTTCATTGATATAATGTAGGCATGTATTCCGAATATAGTCATACGTGCTTATGGAAAAGAACTTGCATGACATCTTTTGTCCTACCCTCCCGTGGCAGCGGGGTCTTTACGGAAACTAAGGGATATTAAGGCCTCCTTTTAATAGAGTACCGAAACAAAGCATTAACACATAGTGAATACATGAACTCCTCAAACTACGGTCATCACCGGTAAGTATCCCGATTATTGTCACTTTGGGGTTAACGGATCATAACACATAATAGGTGACTATAGACTTGCAAGATAGGATCAAGAACTCTCATATATTGATGAAAACATAATAGATTCAGATCTGAAATCATGGCACCCGGGCCCTAGTGACAAGCATTAAGCATAGCAAAGTCATAGCAACATCAATCTCAGAACATAGTGGATACTAGGGATCAAACCCTAACAAAACTAACTCGATTACATGATAGATCCCATCCAACCCATCACCGTCCGGCAAGCCTACGATGAAATTACTCACGAACGACGGTGAGCATCATGAAATTGGTGATGGAGGATGGTTGATGATGATGATGGCGACGGATTCCCCTCTCCGGAGCCCCGAACGGACTCTAGATCAGCCCTCTCGAGAGGTTTTAGGGATTGGTGGTGGCTCCGTATCGTAAAACGCGATGAATTCTTCTCTCTGATTTTTTTCTCCCTGAAACACAATATATAGAGTTGGAGTTGGAGTCGGAGGAGCTCCAGGGGGCCCACGAGGTAGGGGGCGCGCCCTAGGGGGGCAGGCGCGCCCCCACCCTCGTGGAAAAGTGGTGGGCCCCCTGGCCTTCATCTTTTGCAGGTATTTTTTATATTTTCCAAAAAGTTGCTCCGTGAAGTTTCAGGTCATTCCGAGAACTTTTGTTTCTGCACATAAATAACACCATGGTAATTATGCTGAAAACAGCGTCAGTCCGGGTTAGTTCCATTCAAATCATGCAAGTTAGAGTCCAAAACAAGGGCAAAAGTGTTTGGAAAAGTAGATACGACGAAGACGTATCATATACACATAGACAGGCCAGTATCATGCGGTGTGTGTCCTCGGTATCTTTTTCGGTGCTCTTTAATGGGGGTAGGCTGGAAGAATTCAAGCCTTCTCAGGGGCTCCGTTAAGGGGATCCTATTTCACCTTACTTATTTCTTCTAGCAGCTGAAGGATTATCATGTTTGTTAAAAGGGCCGCAACAATAATGATGATGTTGCCAGGATCAAAGTTGCGCCTACTACTCCCTCAGTTAATCATTTGCTTTTTGGAGATGACAGTATCTTATTTTTTAGAGCTAATAGTCTGAGTGCCCAACAAATCAAGGAGTCCTTGGACCTTTACTGCCAGGCTTCAGGACAACGGATAAATATGGACAAGTCCTCGGTCTTCTTTGGCAAGGGCTGTACAGAGACCACCCGTGGACAGATTGAAGATCTACTTGGAGTCCAAAATGAATCATTAGCAGAGAAGTATCTTGGGTTACCTTCATCGATGGGGCGCTCCAAAAATGGGGTGTTCAAATACTTGAAAGATAGAGTTTGGGCAAGAGTAAGAGGGTGGATGGAAAAAGCTTTGTCTTGTGGAGGGAAAGAAATCTTGATTAAATTCGTCGCTCGGGCTATCCGCACTTATTCTATGGCATGTTTTAAGCTGCCCCGAGGTCTTTGCGATCACATTAATTCCTTGCTAAGGAAATTTTGGTGGGGCAGCAAGGACGGCGAGCGCAAAACTGCATGGGTCTCTTGGGAGACGATGACCAGGCCGAAACGGGATGGTGGACTAGGCTTCCGCGACATCGAGATTTTGAATCTCGCACTGTTGGCACGACAAGCTTGGCGAATGCTCATCAACCCAGAATCACTAAGTACTCAGGTGCTTAAGGCAGTATACTACCCGAAAGGAACAATTTTGTCCGCTGCTCTGGGGACGCGCCCTTCGACGGTTTGGAGGTCTATATGTGAGGGTAGGGATGTTCTTAATCTGGGTATCATTCGGTGCATCGGAGATGGAAAGAATACAAAGTTTTTTGATAACTGGCTTCCCAAAGACCATAAACTCAAACCCATATGTGTAAAGTCAGCTATGCCACCGGTGTATGTGAGCGAATTAATTAATCAAACAACCCGTGCATGAAACAGACACGCAATCAACACACACCTAATCCAGCCTGATGTGGATGTGGTTCCGAATATCCCATTGAGTACTATCTCACTTTCAGATTCCTAGGCTTGGCACTATGAGAACTCTGGGAATTTTTCGGCGCGGTCTGCTTATCACTTGCTCGTAGATACGAAGAGGCAACGTGAAGATTGGCTTGAATAGCGATCAGGCCCGTCTGATATGAAGATTATCCGCCGGCAATGGTCTACACTTTGGGGAGTGAAGATACCGTCAAAAGTTAAAATTTTTGTGTGGTGACTAACTCATGTGTCGCTGCCTACTGCTGATGTACGAGCTACTAGGAATATGGCGAAGGATGTGACATGTTCGCTCTGTAATGCAGCGACGGATTCATGTCATCATTCACTAATTGAGTGCAACACGGCCAAGGCAGGTTGGGGCCTGATGGATGATGATGTGGTGAATCTTGTGCAAGTAGGAAACTATGGCAACCCCAAACTCTGGTTGTTCAATCTAATGGAAGTAGCCTCCTAGGCAGAAGTGGTCAGAGTCCTTGTAACTCTTTGGTCCATCTGATGGGTTTGGAGAAAGGCGATCCACGAGCAACACTTTCAGAGTTCACTTTCAATCTTCTCCTATATTCAGAATTTTTTTTACTGATCTTGATATGTTACCAGTGAAGAAGAGCAACCCCAACGGGCCATGCACGGTCCAGCGCGGATGTCAAGCCCCGGCTATCGGCAGCGCCAAGATTTATGTTGATGGTGGAGTCAACCGAGGAGAAAACAAGTGTGCTGTTAATGCAGTCTGCCGAGACACGAGCGACACGTTCCTTGGAGTATCGTCGGTGGTATTTGAGGGGCTTACTCAGCCGGGAATTCTGTAAGCTATTGCCTGTAATGAGGCTCTCTTCCTGACTCTAGACTTGAACCTGCCAAGTTACAGATTGCCACGGACTGTTTGCAAGTAGTACGAAACATTGAAGAGGAGAATTCATGCAACTATGGAGTGATTGTCAAAGAGATCCTAATGAAAAAGGAGCTATTTCAGGAAGTATCTATTAGTCATGAGTCTCGAGCTTGTAATTTAGAAGCACACAATCTTG